CACATGTAATTTTTAAGATACGTTATGTAATTTAGTGGACGCGTGAGAGAAGGGCATACTATTCTTGATACATTGTTTTTTATTCTCCGAAACTGTGGATTTTTAGCTCTGCTTATAGAACGGTCCAAGTGTGTTCGTTTATCGTGGAAAATTTCTGCGCCACACGTACCGTTTCAACCGGGATACGCGAAATTGTAGCCTTTTGTGGAGTACGTACTCGAACCCGATCACAGTGACATGTCGTGTTGGACTCTGATTACCATGATTACCTGACGGACCTGCAAATGTTTATGCAGGCCTTGCAAGGCTTTGTCAAGGCTCGCCTGAAAGCAGCATCATATTACTAGTCCGATCTTATTTAATAAACGATCGAACAACTGTGTGTTCCAACCGGTTCAACCGTTCAAACGAAAACGGCCCAGCAAGCACAGACCCGTTAACATTTCTTTCTAGAAACGACTAAGATCGGAAACGAGGCTTGTTGCAGGCCTTTGGGAAATTCACCACGTGTAGGCGTACAACGAGCGAACTCCGCATAAAACAAGTGTTCCTTCATCACCTGATACTGTCTGTGCTCAAACCTGGCCGTTTCAACGGACAAGCTTACACAAAGAACGTTAGCATGTAACAGTGCTGTGAAGTTGCATATAATATTTTCAACCGGAATAGGTTATGGTAAGTAATTTAATAATTACGTTTTATTGCCAGTTTAATTTCTATCATTAACTATTTCAACACATTTTTTTCACACAGATTTGCGTATAAAATAAAAGATTGGTTAAAATCGGATCACTTCGCACTTTTCCGTCGCATGCCGTCCAATCCCAAAATGCATTGGGCGTTCTCTTGACTGTTTGGCCAAATGGAGAGAAGGAAACATTGGGGAGGTTACGTGCACAGAGCTCTGTTGTTTGACGAGAGAAGAATGTAATATTAATTATTAGCGACATTGGTTATTGACCTTTGGCCGCTATATTGTTGGTCTTCATGATTGACAAATATATATCGCCCATGTAATATGCGAAGATGATTTTAATTTGTGATGGCGGATACGACGAAAATAGCCTGATGCAATTTGGAAAGTTCTACCGGAAGTCATGTAATTATGTAAGCTGCGCGCACTTTGCAAACCAACGCCTAAAGCCAAGCTTGCCCGCAATAAGCTTTATCGCTTAGTTTAGCCTTGCTTAAATTACCGGATGTTGTCAGTCTAAGCAACATTAATTTGCAGGTACAGATTTGCGCTTTAGGTAACTTTGGAACGTTTCAATTCAATAATACTGCAAACAAAGAAAAAAAATCTCATGTAGGTATAATGAAAACATATATGATTTTTTTGTTTAATTGCAATAACATCGGTTTTACATTACAGTTGTAAGCGTAAAACGTTCATTTTTAGGAAGTGGAAAGTGTTCTGAGGATAGAGATATCAGTAATATAATTCATCCTGTAAAAAACCACGGAATTAGATAAGATTATTTAAGTCCGTGACAAAAACCGTTCAGTTGGAGAATATTAACAGCAAATTCATGTTGTACAACACGTAATGAAAACGCCAAAAACTTGTATCATTCAACAAATAAATGACCCATCAAACAAATAATATATGTTATAAAAAGGTTATCACTTACAAATACGACACCCGGTAAAAACTTATGTTGAGAGAGTAAAATTATACCAGGCAAAAGTGGCCGATAAGGTAAACCGGAAGTATTATTATTGCGACTTGAGTTACTGCAGGCCAGCTTGACGCCATTCAACACGCGGCGATTCATTGGAAAGCGTTTGCTACTACTGCAGATAACATATAGCTATACAGGTATCTTCTGTACTGCCAATTTAGTTCAATTTCTGTTGTTACTTTAAATTTTTATCTGTTCTATCTCGGAGAATTCGATTCTCAAACGACACGAGTTACGTGAAGGCACATGGCTAATTCCCAGCCAGGCAGATCTGCATTTGGGCGGATCCAGAATAATTTTTTTTTGGAGTGGGGGATTAAGTGTTAGGCTTACATTTAATCTTTTCCTCTTGAAAATAATAAAAATTCAAAATTCTTTTCAGGAAAAACAATGCCAAAGCGATCATTGGCACAGGAGGCAGGTGGCTCGGAGGGAAAGAAGTCCAAAAATGCAAAAATCACAGTCAACAAGCCGAAGAATTATTCCAAGCTTATTGACCAGTCAACAAATTTTGAGGTAAAGAACTTTGACAAAATGTTTTCTGTGATCATGCAATTTAAACCAAATATGAACACAAACTAGTGAAAAGAAGAATAAACTATAGAACTGTTCGAAAAAAAGGATTGTTTACCTATTCAACGAGTATTTGACGTGTATAGAAAGTCAAAAACATTGCATAAAACTGCACAACATCAATGTAAGATGACTTGGAAACCGTCTTATTCTTGTACAGATACTGAATGCTTTATGAATAAATGTCAAAACTGAAGCTAAATATTAATATGACAATGCCAATGTGCTGACACCAAGATGACCACCAGAGTATCCATATTCTTCTAAAACTGTAGGTAAGCTAAAAGTGTCTTCACAAGCAGTGTCATTCTTATCTAAGGATACATTTTCGGCTATTAACTACATGTATACAAACATATTTGAAAATTTTGTGTATAATAAATTTATTTTTCAGACAACTGAACTGAATTTTTCTGAGAAAATTCCTTCCAAAAACAAGAACATTCAATTAGAATTCCCTGACTGGCCGGATTTCCGACCCAATATGACTCCAAAAGAAGTTCTGCAGGCTGGAAGTTTCGGAGGAACATATTTTCGTTCAATTAAGTCTGGTGCAACAGGTAAATACTTCTTTTCAACTCATTTGGAGCAAACAGTCCACAATCTAAGGACCGTCTTTTAAATTTTTTTTTTTTTACACCATCAGTGATTTCTTATTGTTCTATTTTACAGCCGAATACAGACTGTTTCCGCTAGCTTAAAAGTGCCATATTTTCCCAAAATGACCGAAAATGAGGAATATGTTCCCAATTTCAATAAAAATAATGCTATATTTTCCAAACTTATAAAGGAATGAGCTGTTGTATAGTTCAGGTAAAAAACCACTTGACCATATAACATGTTGTCGTGCAAGGACAATATTGATGTTTCGCACCAGATTTTTTTTCTCTCTTATCTTTATTTTAAGCCTTGATAGAGAATTAACTTTAACAAATAAATAGTTAGATACAGGATTTTCGTATATAGTTAACTTTGATTTGTTAAAAGACAGATAACAGACATAGATACCTCAATGTATCACAATGTTACATTACAGGTAAAAGTTACTCTGGTGCAGAGGTTTACAAGGAGTTTCCTTCTGACTGGTTTGAGGGTCTTAACATTGCCAAACAGGTAGGTGTCAGCAGGATAGATATAACTAACACAATAGCTCACAAGTAGCTTTTATGTTACAGCATTGTGTCTGTTATCAATCTGTCAAATTACATTTAGTATACTTCTTTTCCAGAATTTGAGAATTGTTTTTTAAAATTTTGTAACTAGGTTACCCTACCTACACTGTACCATAATTTTGTTGTGTCTATCCTGAAGTTTGTTCGAGAGCACTGTCAAAGTCAAGATCACCCTCCTATATAAACCTTTGCTAAGAGACCACTTTAAAGACTTCCTTTACCCTTTCACCACTGTAGACCATAATGGACTCGTCCAGATCAATGCATGGTGGAGTCTACTACAGTTACATAGGGGTGAAAGGGTTGATAAGATGGTCTCCATACAAATTTGGGTGTTTTACCTACTTACAGGTGACCAATGCTACATACCGCAATGAGGTGAACACTTACAAGGTCAAATGCGGAGGGAGCTTGCAAATGTGGGAGGAGAGTGATTGGATACACAAGCAAGATCCGTATGGCTGGTTCCATTGGTATTGTAGGTGAGTATTCAATAATCTAGTCTGTCAGCTGGTCGATGGCTGAGGAACATGATTAAGGAATATAAGTAATTTAAGCTTAGATTTATCCCTCTTGTTGGCCTGGATGTAAGCGTTCAGGCTTCTTATTGAGCGAGGAAACTGGAGTACCACGAGAAAACCCACATGGTCAGGCAGGTATCCCCGTACCATTTCAGGTTCTATCTGGGAATTGAACCCTGGCCGCCTTGGTGAAAGGCGAGTGCGCTATCCACTGTGCCACCCAAACACCCGCTTTATGATGTGATATACAAAAATGTATACCAGTGAAATAATTTATGGAGTTATCTTGATGTTTGGATTTAGGGAAGTTTGATATTTCATGTTTGAAGCCATGATTTTAGAGACTTAAAAATGTCCTCTATGAAGTTTTGTGTTTGAAATGACGTCTGGCACTATTTTAAATATACTGGGGTCTTACCTGGAGAAATATTTAAATGAATGAATCAGATATTCAAATGTTAACTTGTCACATCATAAAATGTGAAGACTTTCATACAAAAGTAAAAGGTAAACTGGAGCTGACAACTGTTCATTAATTTGATTTGTTGATGAATAGATAAATTGATAACCTTGATCTTTTTTTAAGTTTTTCCAAGTTTGAAATTTATCTAAAACTTTTAGAATAGATTTCTGCTGCTATTACCAGGTTTGACCTCAGACACTCAAAACAGTTGTCTTTTTGTGGGTTTTTTTCCCTAAATTATTAGCCTGGTCTTTGTAGATTTTGCCAGGTATAACACTATAAACTACCATTGACCTTTGTAGATTTTAAACCCTAAACTTGCAATCTTGTAGGTTTTATCTGGGCAGACGAACGCCTGATGACGAAAGACAGGTTGGTCGTTGGCTGCGGTGTGCAGGCGTGACAGGACGTTGGAGGAACAACCTTATATCCAAGTGTGTCAAGTCGGGGTGTGGCTACGACAACAGGGCAATCTCACCAGTTGTCAGACAGACTCTCCAGCACTGGGGCTACAGGCTCAACAGTGACGACTTCAACGCTTATGTCAAGAAGAAAGGACTCAAGTAGAATAAAAAAAAGGAGAGGACTAGATTTAGGACTTAAAAGGTGGGGGATGTAACATGTAGCCATGATGTTATAAAATACTACATTTACAGAGAAATTTCCAACACCGTACCTCTAGTATAGGTTCTAGAGGTTCCATTCGTTATCCCTTGCTTGGATACCAAGAATGCAGGGCAATTGAGGAATAAGGGAAAACTAACAGTAATATTCAATCGCAACAAGCTCGGTTAGGTAGGTATATTTATTAGAATGTGTATATCAGTTTCGCCCGAACAGTGGGCTTCAGGACAATAATGATGAATTTTATCCCTAAGGTACTAAAAATGTGGGCTCTTTTTCTATTGTTACATGTGACTTCATGCAATATATGTCGCATGATCTTATCAAGTAACGATTACTTTACGTGTACCATAGTGTACCATAGTGTTCCATAGTGTTCCATAGTGTACCATAGTGTACCATAGTGTACCATAGTGTACCATCAATAGTGTTGTAAGATAAACATTTACAAAATTATCATAAACTAGATTTAGGACTTAAAAGGTGGGGGATGTAACATCGTCAATTTGGGTTCAAATTGTCCTTTTCCAACGTTATTAACTTATTGCATATAGGATAAATTAGACTATAGGTTGCCCTTATCATATAGTCCTTGGTTTCATGAATAAAACATTAAATATTAAATAGTAATGATAAACATTGTTCATCCAAGGCTAAAGTAGAATCCGATGCTGATTTATATATGAAGTTTTTGTGGGCCGGTCCAACTTTTCTAGTTCCTATGTTACCCGGAACTTTACTTGATCCATGTGTTCCTTGGTTAGTGATTCAAAAGGGTGTTTGTTTCCTGGTTTTTCTGCGTTCTGCTCGGAGGCGTCCTCCAGTACTTAAGGTTCCACCGTGCATCCTGGATGTTGTTTCGTTAGATGACGGTTATAGGTTTCCTTCCTCTCGACTGCTTGCACATTTTGCACCTGTCTAATTTTTTCATGCTGGAGTAAGTTCTTCACCATCATACTAATAAATATACTACCTATCCCAAGCTTGTTGCGATTGAATATTACTTTTAGTTTTACACAGAATTTTTTGTCCTAAGTGAAATATTCACCCATCCGTAAAATCCATAATTTTGATGGCATTTCTGGCGAGCTTTTCACAGGGCTATCGAAAAAGGCACATGAAGCAAATTTGAAATCAATTTCTTCATTTGTTACAATGCTGTCATCGGGTGACAGGTTTTCACAGGCAATGTGGGACCATCCGAGACAGTTGGAACATTGAATAGTTTGTGTTTGATTGTCCATATCAATACTACACACGTCACATGAAAGTATGTTACTTTGAGCACTGTCGGTATCGGGACCCTCTAGATCTAGTGTCTCTGTAGCTTGTTAAGTTGTGAGTATGGCTGGTCACTTTGAACGCTAACATTCGCTCGCTAGGTAAGGTGTGTTCAGCGGTGCATATCTCATTATCAGCAACTCTATTCTTACTATACATTGCAGAAATGCTAGTTCAGGGCCTCCACTTTCTGATTTGCATACCCTTAACCTAGATGAACAGCTCTTAAAGGGTTAAGAGGAAGTTAATGTTTAAAGAAGAAAAAAACACGGTGCAGTGGGACAGGGATTATCAGGGATTATCAAAAACAAATGTAGTGAAAAGTTACTGCAATAAACTTTCACACCATTGCAATTCTTTGTCTAACTGCAACAGAACAGATGCATCAGCCATAATATCCGGTTGTACATGTAGTACCAATTTTGGGGATCCTGGCCATGGTGTTCTTGCTAATTTATGTAACCATCAAGGCCCGTCTTCCATCGTTTTTTGCGATGAATTACCCAGCATGGCAGCACTAACTTGCCGCTTCATGTTAAGGATGCTGGTATATTTGCTACCTATATCAATGATATAAAAGCATATTTAGTATGCAGTGAATACAATCACGCAAAAAAAAAATATTATCATAAATAAAGGTATTTGGATTGCTCCAATTCCCCATTGCTTCAAAGGTGAACTTGGTAAATAACTTCGTGACTTGCATTATTAATGTAGTGAGGTCCAAAAAAAGCTAATTACTTGTTTCTCAGGCCAATTTTTTTCAAAAAAAGATGCGTCGGGGAATTATTTTTCTCATATTTTACATGGCAAAAATGAGACGAGGGCGATCTTTTTTTCATTATGTAGTGTGTAAAACGTTCATTGTGGGCATTACCTTGTCTTTTTATAGTTGTGTAGAGACCCATCATAGAGCAAGCCTCTGAAAATCTTCCCACATTGTGCCAGATGAGAATCACAAACCCCCCAATTCCTTATTTGTAATGAAATGAGCGTCATTTGTACACAAGATTAATAATTATAAGTCATAATCGTTTTAAGGCTTGCCTGTATATCAATTTCTTATCTTTTTCTAACATTTTTGGGATTTGGGTGACTTAACGAGGAAAAACGACATGCAGACTAATTTTCCGGATTTTTTTAAAGACGCTGGCTGTGGGTTTTTTAATTACTTTCACTATAAAATCGGCAATGCATTCCACCTGTAGTGGCAATTGGGGGAAATTTCTGATAACGGGTACAACGCTGTCGGTATCTGAAATTAGTGGTAAAAGTTACAAATTGATTCTTTTCTTCTTCTGACCATGAAAAATTTCTCATGGGAAGGCTCTTTATATAGGTAAGCTCTAAAAAAGTACCACTAGCGATGAAAAAAAAGACGTGCAGATTAATTTTCCTCTTTTTTTTTTTAAAGACGGCGGCTGGCGCATTCACGATTTTCTTTTTAATAATTTAATGATAAAATCGGCAATGCGGTGCCCTAAAATGAAATGCGCACGGGCCTGAGAATCAAGTAATCAAATTTTTCTGGCCTGATGGTTTCTTACAATGTTTCATCAAAAAATGAGTGTTTATAAGTACATTTCACCTGTAATGGCAATTCCGGGGAAATTTCTGATAACGGGTACAACGCTGTTGGTATCCGGAATTCGTGGTAAAAGTTACAATTTGATTCATTTCTTCTTCTGACCATTAAAATAAGCGCACGGGCCTGAAAACCAAGTATTTTTTTTTGGCCTGATGGTTTCTGACAATGAAACATTAAAAAATGAGTTTTTATAAGTACATTTCACCTCTAGTGGCAATTCGGGGGAAATTTCTGATAACAGGTACAAAGCTGTCGGTATCTGAAATTTGTGGTTAAAGTTACAAATTGTTCCTTTTCTTCTTCTGACCTTGAGAATTTCTCATGGGAAGGCTCTTTATAACATCAAAAAAAGTTTAAAAAAAATTAGACCACTGATTTTCAGGTATGTTTGCCCTGTATATTAATGATTTAAATATATTCAATATGAAGTGAATACAATCATGCACGGTAAAAAGAAAAATAAATAAACATGTAAATAAATGAAGACAAATTTAAGGTACATGGATTGCTTTGAATAAGTTAGATTTTCCATTACCTTAAAATTGAACTTGGTAAATAACCAAGTGACTTGCGTAAGTAACGTTACACAAGGCAGATAGATTCTGATTGGGTGATGGTTTTTGACAATGTTTCATTAAAGAATGAGTGTTGATCAGAAAATTTGTCTCGTTGTGGCAATTCAGGGACAATAAAAAAAAATCCAGCAATACTGTTAGTACCCAACATTTTCAAAAATTACAAATTTTTCTTTTTCTTTTTCTGTCCATGAAAATTAACTATCTGATGGTTCTTTATAAGCTCCATTTTTTTTTGATATTTTCTTCATAAACATTGCAAGCGTTGAAGCTCGGTTCATAAAATATTATGATATTATCTTTGGTGAAAATGTTTCCAAACATTGCCTTTTCAATCCATGCTTCATTACAAACGGTAATTATGATAAAATTGGTCTCTTTTTGTTCATCACAAGAGTGTATGAATTACAGATGTGATCCTTATAATCCGCTCCTTCACATCTCCAATTGATGCTCAATTTTCTCTCCAAAATATTGTCAATAAAAACGAAAATATCCTAAATGCACTGATTTTCAGGTATGTTTGCCCTGTATATTAATGATTTAAATATATTCAATATGAAGTGAATACAATCATGCACGGTAAAAAGAAAAATAAATAAATACGTGAATAAACGAAGAAAAATTTAAGTTACATAGATTGCTTTGAATAAGTTAGATTTTCCATTACCTTAAAAGTGAACTTGATAAATAACTAAGTGACTTGCGTAAGTAACGTTACAAAAGGCAGATGGATTCTGATTGGGTGATGGTTTTTGACAATGTTTCATTAAAGAATGAGTGTTGATCAGAAAATTTGACTTGTTGTGGCAATTCAGGACAATAAAAAAAACCCAGCAATACTGCTAGTATCCAACATTTTCAAAAATTACAAATTTTTCTTTTTCTTTCTCTGTCTATGAAAATGGTTCTTTATAAGCTCCAATTATTTTTTTTGATATTTTCTTCATAAACATTGCAAGCGTTGAAGCTCGGTTCATAAAATATTATGATATTATCTTTGGTGAAAGTGTTTCCAAACAATGCCTTTTCAATCCATGCTTCATTACAAACGGTAATTATGATAAAATTGGTCTCTGTTTGTTCATCACAAGAGTGTATGAATTACAGATCTGATCCTTATAATCCGCTCCTTCACATCTCCAATTGATGCTCAATTTTCTCTCCAAAATATGGTCAAGAAAACGAAAAAAGTCTTAAATGCTATGAAGTTGTAGAGATTGTCCACCTTGTTTTCATTTCTTTGACACTGAAAGTGTCCAATGGGCAGTTGTTGTTAGGAGCTTTTCTTAAGTGACATTTGTCGCTTTTAAAAGTGACTTCCAAAAAAGCAAGTATCATCTTTACGTTGGATATATTTTGTAAGGTTTCTTGACACATTACGCTCCCTCCCTTTACCACACAAAACGGTCTGACCGTGTCGGGTGATGGTGATGAATTTTAAGTATAGCAAAAAAAAAGAGTACTTTAACACCCTCCGACAGGAGGAATAAAGCGCATTCTTCCATCTTTCTGATATTTGACTGTGTGACCTTTTTTCACCCTCCGACAGGAGGAATAAAGTACATTCTTCATCATTCTTGCTCTCAGTTATCAGATATAAAGCGCATTCTTTTGAAATAGGCACATGCTCTATTCAACAACGCAAGCTTTATCACATAAACGATTGTTGATAAAAGTTTCGTAACACATTCACACTTCCTCCATCTACCACACAAAACTGTGACTGTTGGGTTGATCATTGCGTCTTACAAGCTTAAAGAAAACATACTAAACATGTGGTTCTTTTAAATTTAAAAAAAAAAAAAATGAGAGTTCATTGGCAGTATCTTAATTAACCCTTCCCAATCCCTATATTACAAAAAAAATGTGTTCTTTACAAATAAAATATTTGAGGAGAAAAAAATAATAAATTGTGTATTTGGTTCCATAACTGCAAGGTCTTGATATGATGTTGAGAACTTGTAAGGGTTGTCTGTCCTGTCGCTTTTTTCAGCCAATGGAGTTGAATGACAATTGCTGTTTAATCATCTCCTGTGTTTTCCTTGATTATTACAAGGTTCTTTCAGAGCATTTACAGAGAGATGCAAAAAAACCCTTGCTGACTATTATCAGATAGTTGGCTGTTCAAATCGCCTTTCTCCCGTCGTTCCTAGTCGCCTATCTTTAAAAACAATTGTTTTCATTTCTCTCAGACTACCAGATGGATGTTAATCAAATTTTACTTTGTTTTGGAAATTGTCATAAAAACAAGATGGCTGCCTGGTGGCCATCTTGGATTTTGGCAGCTTAACTTGGCAATTGTTATTTTTGGAATCCTGGAGGGATTTTCATCAAATTGCACAAATGCATTTGAACTGAAAAAATGAACATGTTCAAATTTGGATGACTCTTGATTTTGGCTTTGTGGTACTATTTATTTTAGATTGAATTATTAAGAAATCAATATCTAGACATCAAGGAGTAAAATTCTTAATGTCAAGAAATCTACTTCTTGATATCTAGAATTCACCTGATTTTTGATAAGTTAATAAAAAGTTTTGTAAGTTATTGATATCAAGAAATCAGTGTTTGATAACAATAACATGACATTGATATCAAGATATCAAATTTAATTCTTAATATCAGTAATTACATGAATTCATTGATATCAAAAATGAATTTATTAATATCAAAAATGTATTGATATCATAAATGACTTTGATATCAAAAAATCACACAATTACATTTGTATGTTCTTGTTGGCCCATAGTTGTATGTAATAAATAATAGGATTTCCTGCATGACGGAACAATTACCTATAGGTAAAGGACAGTAAAAAAATCTAATAATATTTCTCATAAATTCTGGAGGGATCTTTCTCAAAAATTCTTATGTAGATCCCTCTTGGAATTTAGAAGGGCATGCTTCTTTTTGCTCTTCATAAAAAAATGTCAACTATAGCGGTACCGCTGTTTACAAGGCTCTTAATGGAATAGAGAAAAGAAACAAACCTACTCAAATACATAGAACTAATAAAGATCTTATGATGGTGGGTGCCAAGATCCCTCTGGGATATCTCTTCTTTGAAGATGGCATGAAAATAAAATAGATAATAAATACATAAATAAATATATCATTTATTGATTTGTATTCATGTATTGCGATTTGCTAATTGCTATGTTATCCCAAACAGTCTTTTAAGGTATGATGGCAAATTTGTTTTAATAAACAAATTCTAAAAAATAATATTGGCTTAATATCTTTTGTTGCTGATTGTATTATTGAGATTTACAGGCCAAACCTAAATGTAGATCTTCATGAAATGTATATATTTGTGTATTGTTTATTTCTTCTGTTATATGTATAAACATGTGTATGCTGATTTATAANGAGATTTACATTGAGTCGTCATTGTATTATTGAGATTTACATTGAGTCGTCATTGTATTATAGAGATTTACATCGAGTCGTCATTGTATTATTGAGATTTGCATTGAGTCGTCATTGTATTATAGAGATTTACATTGAGTCGTCATTGTATTATTGAGATTTACATTGAGTCGTCATTGTATTATAGAGATTTACATCGAGTCGTCATTGTATTATTGAGATTTGCATTGAGTCGTCATTGTATTATAGAGATTTACATTGAGTCGTCATTGTATTATTGAGATTTACATTGAGTCGTCATTGTATCACTTATCTAGCTCAAGGGATGAAAAGTTTACCAGATGCCCTGTTAAACGTATGATACTAAGTTAAGATAAATGATCGGACAATGTCGCTCTGAGCCAATATTTCAGCCTCATTGCCTTCTTCTTCAAGGAAGGGCGAAGGTCAGCTATGTATTCAAGTTACCTGTGTGTACGCCCATCTTGCTTCTTTGGGATTAGAGGATAATGGGACTGAGAGTGACAATTGTTTGGTCATTAACTCTTTTTTTTTTTCGCTAGGGAAATCAACTGTTTTATTAAGTCAAGATAGTTGGATAAACATGGTATTACCACCCTCAATGCTGCCTGAACAAGGAATAACCAGAACAAGAAACAGTACTTAAAATCCAATGCAATTGCCAAAAATAAAAAGTTGATATAAAACTCAATGAGATTGGTCATTTTGGTCTGATTACATTTAGTACATAGTTGTGAAGCATGTTGTATTCCTGAGTAGTCAAAGTTGATATTGTGGCTGTGACCTATATATGAATGGATCCATGTCCAGCATCAAATTGTGTTTTGATGTACTTTAAAATGATACCATGCAAGTTTAATGATTGAATCTTTTGCATGTCACATTCATGAGGTTATGAATAAAGTCGTTTTTTTAAGACAAATTTCATTATTGTTGACTTTATCTCACGACCAGCTCATGAGATTGACCAAAGCAATATATATAATCCTATACTGGGCCTGTGCAAGTCTACTAGTAAAGTTAAAGTTAAAATCAAGTTTGTCATTGAATGTTTTTTGTTAATCGATCATGTTGAAAGTACATCATTCTGAATGTAACAGTTTTATTACAACAAAAGTTAAACCTAAGTATGTAATTCTGAATTTGTCAATATTGATTATCTTATATAAATACATCCAAAAGCAAGCGAAATGGTATGAAATGGGAAAAGAACTAATGGGCAACCGCAATGATGTTCTGGTCAATTTCATGGGAAAATGAAACGAATAACATTTCATAGTTTCATTGAAATTGTTGACTTGATTGCAAGGCCTTTACAATAGTAATGTGTAACGGGACTTTTTAACCCGGAGAATTTCAGCGAACTTGGTAAGGAAAATTTTGTGGCTTAACAGAAAAGTTAGGAATTTAAATCAAATTTGTGGGAAAGTGATCACACGAGGTCATTTTCAAATTATCTTGGAAAACCTTATTTTACCCAAGAATTTGATTCATCAAAAAATGTACAAGTTACAGGGACATTAAATAGTTTTATAATATCATCTTTGAGGAATTTATTCCATTTGAAATATAATAATAACTCTTTATATTGATTTATTGAAATGAATAATAAATACAAATATTTGAGTATTATATTGAGCGTTTGTTGTTTGTATATGTATTTTGAGGACCCCACAACTGACTGGAATAACCTCCCAGGATACCTGGTAGAAATATCTGATATCAAAATCTTTAAATATTTTGTCAACAACTGATTTACCTGTCAGTTTAATGCGAGTGGGTGGAATACAGTGCTAGGTGTCTTCGGCATGGTATTTCAGTGAGGTGGCAAATTCACCAATATGCTGCCTCGGCACACAGATGCATACATTGCATTAATGGAGGTACATCCTTAAATGACCCTAGCTGATAATAGGATATCAAACCCAACAAGACAATCTATAATCTCCTGTTAGGAAAGTATCCCGATACACAATATAACAAGAAAGGCATCTTTGTAATTGTAAAATTGTTTTGATGCCAACAGCAGAAATTTGCAATATGGTTTTATGAAGTATCAAGAGTGCAAAGATTCTAATATAGCTTAGTTTTGGAATTGAAGAGAAAAGGCAGAGTGAAGGAAATTGTTTTTAAATCAAAGATTGTTACACCAAATCTGGTTACAGGCTGTGAAATAGTATGGAAGATATGCTCTGGACAAACATTTTCAAAAGGTAAGGTCAAAGCATAGGTCACAGACAGATCCAATTGACCTACTTCTTGAACTCTTCCATCCCAAGATGTACACTAAATCTGGTTACTCAAAGTGAAATACAAAATGTAGCAGAGAAAATGAGCCTCGGGACAAATATTGTCAAAAGTAAAGGTAAGAGGTCAAGTCATACGTCGGCGACTTAATTCTTGCAATCTGCAATCCACCAGCCCTTGTACAAAAAAGTTGATCGAAGAGCTTGAAATATTTGGCCCCTGCGACCTTGATAGTAAGTTGAGGTCATTCTAAAAGTTTGTCGGGTTCTATCCCAGAAAGCCACCAGCATAATATGAAGATTCTTTTCTTTTTAATTATCCAAAAGTTTTTTGAAGTGTTTGACATATTTGACTGCTTTGACCTTAAAAGTAGGTCAAGGTCATTTTCATTCTCAACAAACTTTGTCGGGCTCAATCCCAAGATGCTACCAGCCAAATATATTAATTCTATCCCGTTCAGTTCTTCAGAGAAATCGTTTGATTTTTTGACATATATGACCCTGTGACCTTGAAAGTAGGTCAAGGTCTTTTTCATTCGCAAACTTTCAGGCTCTATCCCAGGAAGCCACGAGCCAAATATGAAAATTCTATCGCTTTCAGTTTTTCAAAGAAGTCATTTGAAGTGTTTGACATATCTGATCCCTGTGACCTTGAAAGTATGTCAAGGTCATTTTCATTCTCAAACTTGTCTGGCTCTATTCCAGGAAGCATGGGCTTTTTGGTTATCAATAGAAGTTGTTTAAATGATTTAAACATATTTGACTCCTGTGACCTTGAATATAAGTCAAGGTCATTTGTTTTAACAAACTTAGTAGCCCCCTGGAGGAGTGCGACCCAATAGGGGGAAACAGCAAATTCTTCAAAATCCTTCTTCTTCTGTAGGAATGACAGGACTTAGTCCGAATTTAGTATGAAGCACCCTTGGGTGAAGGGGAACCAATTTTGTATATGTGGTTCCCCCCCCCCCCCCCCCCTCTACCTCAGTACTTTTGAGAAGCTAGCTGTCACAAAAGTTTAAGATGCAAATGAATAAATTAAAACAAGAGCTGGACATGCTTACAGCACAGCTAGCTAGACACTCTCTCTTTATCACAAAATGGAAGAGGATAATTCCAAGCTGATAAAGAAATATGAACAGGACCTAGAGTAGCTGCGGGAACCGTAGCTTC